AGGGAAAGGTTTAATGATGTTTATAGCAGACATCACGGACATTACACATGAAAACATGGGAAATGGTGCACTTTTCTTGTAGGGAGATAATCTTTAATAGATGGCAATGAGGAAATAAAAGCATTTGTACACAACAGCCTACCTCACGGAGGGGGTATATTTGCCTGAGTAACATGGGCAAAGCCACAGATGTTTCCTCCAGAGCCAGAACTACATGGGGCTGTTCCTCCTGAGGAACAGGAATGAGAGAAAACCCAGCACATGCTTTCCCTCCCCTTCCTCAACCCTGGCTGCAGTTGTGGAGTAAAACACAGCCCCAGTGCTAGATTTTCTCAATGGAAACATTCCCCTAAAAACCATTTGTTTCTCCCTTAGGAGCAGTAGAAGACAATGAGAAAAAAAGGCAGACATGACTTGAAGACAGTATTTAACCATCCCTTTCTTGAGCTGTTCTATTGGTCTCCAAAGATAATGGGATAAAGCTTCTGTCTGTGAAGACTGCTTTATAGGAGGGGACTAGGGACTGATGGCATGGAGATGGGGATATGGACAGGGTGGTGTGACCCAGAAGAGGGCTATTCTCCCTCCCCACCCCGATGCTGAGATTTAATCCTCCCTTTTTTCTATGGAAACAATCTCTGACTCTCTTCACTTGGAGAAGACTACACAGCAACACAGCTTGTTTACTCGCTGTTGTCTTGGGTGAATTTGAAGCTGTGTGGCCTTGTCCTTGTTCCAGGAAATGCATGGACATAGCTGTCTGAAGGAAAACCGGAATGACTGTATAGTTTTCAGCACTGAGTGGCACTTCGCCACCTCGCTTTTATTGTTAGCAGATTACCATGTTGCCTCACTGCACTGTGCCACACACCACGCTGTGAATAATATTCAACAAAAGAAAATCCCCTCCAAAATCCGCTCCGAAGTGACCGTGTTCTCCTGCCTAATGGCAGGAGGATCGGGCAGAGGCTCCGTTCATCTGATATTGTTTTCCCCCTGCATCTCTCCCACAAGCGAGGGGAGGAAGAAGGATGGAATGGCCCTGGGAAGCTCACGTCTGCAATGTAACACCTAGGGTGGTCGCTGCTGGATGCCACACTGCTGCCAGGAGCATGGAGCTGGGTTTGCTCACATTGACCAGCCTCTGGAGCTGTTCAGCATCTTTCCCCACTGAACCCTGAAAAAGAGGGGCGTGCAATAACAACATCCCAACTTGTTTGTGCCATGAAAGGAGCTGGAAAGAATGTGCTGAACCACATGACAGGCAAGGACATCAGGCTGCACAGAGAATAAAAAGGCCTCATTTTTAATTACTTCTGAACAAAGTTGGCTCAGTAAAGTATTTCCCATTGTACTGCTGAACTTTTCTTCTCATCACACAGCAGTGAAGTGCAAGCTCCTCTGCTGCTGTAAGTGAACTGCAATCAAGCCTGTGTTCGGGATCATTTTGTTCCCCTATTAAAAGCAGACTCCCCAGCTTTCACCAGTGCTTCAGACTTCTCAGCAGCATCCAGGCACTTTTTTGTCACTGTAGATGTTTTCAGCATGAGTCTTAAGATAGAAGAGTATCTCACTCCTTCCTAATCCCAGGAATCCTTAAGTCACAACAAAGAAGAGACAACATAAGGGTTGGTATCCTCCTCAATGAGGCACAAACTGTCCATGTAGACATAACCAAGGTCAACCTACGTGCTAGCAGCAGGGCCACAGCTACAACAGGTACTAAATGAAGAACTACTACTTGAGTAAAGTTTCTCATCAATAAAACTTGTTAATTCTGCCTGTAAATTCTTCAGACTTCATGTTCTGATTGTCAGTAAAATATCTTGGTCTGGGACAAACTAAAACATAAGCTGGCCTCAGTTCCCCAAGGTCCATTATGAGGTCAGTGTCCAAGGATTCACCCAAATGTATTGCACTTCGGAGTTTTGTGGATTTAAAGACAGAAATGACTCATGTATAACTGATGTCTTCCTGAGCATGCAGAGAGCCTGAAACAATAGATCTAAGAGAGACAGACTGCTCCATTCACTTTTTTCTTCAAAATCTGCTGTTTCCTCAAGTAGAAACTTGGTCAGCCCATAAGAAGAAATCCACATCAAACAACTGAAGACACCAGGAGTCCATGCAGGAGCACGCCTTGGGCAGTCTTGCATTGTTTAATTAAAGAGCAATTTAGTGTCTTTCATTGAAATGTCCTTTAGCTAAAGATGAGCAGCTCCCCAAGCAGCAGTAAGGGCTCCACCCCTGTCACCGCTTCCCTCACTGTCCAAGACAGAAATCGTGTTGACTTCAGTGTGCCCAGGCACAAACTCCTGTTGAACCAGACCAGCTCTCTCACCCTGTCTCCAGAACAGAGCTGCTCCAGCTCTTGGAGGATCTTGGTGGCCTCCTCTGACTCACTCCAACAGCTCCATGTACCTCTTGTGCTGTTGCCCCAGAGCTGGACACAGGACTGCAAGGGGGTCTCTCCAAAGTGCAGCAGAGGTGGAGAATCCTCTCCCTTGACCTGCTGCTCTTGCTCTGAAGATGCAGCCCAGCACATGTGGGGGTTCTGGGCTGCAAGCACACACTGCTAGGTCTTGTTGAGCTTCTCATCAACCAAGACTCTTAAGTCATAGAATCATACAATCACAGAATGGTTTGGGTTGGAAGGAATCTTGAGATCATTCAGTTCCAACCCCCCTGCCATGGGAAGGGACATCTCACACTAGACCATGTAGCCCAGAGCTCTGTACAACCTGGCCTTGAACACTACCAGGGATGTGGCATTTACCACTTCTTTGGGCACCCTGTGCCAGCGCCTCACCACCCTCACAGGGAAGAACTTTTTCCTTGTATCTAACCTGAACTTCCCCTGTTTGAGTTTAAAGCCACCACCTCTTGTCCTATTGCTACAGTCCCTAATGAAGAGTCCCTCCCTGGCATCCTTGCAGGCTGCCGTCAGATACTGGAAGCCACTTTGAGGTCTCAATGCAGCTTCTCTTCTCCAGGCTGAACAGCCCCAACTTTCTCAGCCTGTCTTCACACAGGAGGTGCTCCAGTCCCCTGATCATCCTCGTGGTCTCCTCTGGACTTGTTCCAACAGTTCCACGTCCTTCTTATTTTAAGGACACCAGAACTGCACACAGTGCTCCAAGTGGGGTCTCACGAGAGCAGAGCTGAGGGGCAGGATCACCTCCTTCAACCTGCCAGTCACGCTCCTTTTGATGCAGCCCAGGATACAGTTGGCTTTCTGGGCTGTGAGCGCACACTGAAGTGGCTCATGTTCAGTTTCTCATCACCCAACACCCCCAAGTCCTTCTCCACAGGGCTGCTCTCACTCCAGCCTCCAGGAGGTGGAAATCCAACTATCATAGCATCATTATTATTCCATTCAAAATGCTAATGAATGGTACATTAGCTTAAGCTTATAGTAATGAATCTTCTCTGAGCCTAACTACAGTCTCATACCTCTGTCTAGTTAGTATCTTCTCAGCAGTGGTTTGGACCTTGCCTGTTGGGAAGCTAATAGTAATGGCCCTACATGGCCCTGCATATGTGAAAATGGACCTACAATACATGATAGAAACCTACAATACATGATAGGCTGGAGGAACACTGCGGAGATCTGCCCAAATGCATACAGACCTCACGCAGCTCACCCTGTGGGTTACACACAGAACCACAGCTCCAAACAGAAAACTATCTAGACATGCCTGTCCGAACAAAACTGGCCCCTGACTATGCACAGCCTTGAGAGCAGAGCAAGTCAACATCACGCATTTACGTATCATGTAAATATATCTGTACTAAAACTTCAACTGTTAAGAAATGAAATAAGGTAGAGAATAAAACTCCCACAAATTTGACCAGAAAAGGCTGGTTCCATCTATAATGCAACAGGGGAAGTATGCGATACTAGAAGTTTTCTTTGGCAGAATACGCACTTCTTAACTGTGAAGGTCACCTGTGTGTCTTCACCCAATCAAGCAGGATTGCAAGAGTCAAAAAGAACATCAAATGATCATGTTATTTAATTTGCCATCATTTGGAAGGGGAAGGCAGTGACACATAATTATTTTTTTCCTTTCTTTCCTCTGCTTTCTAAGCTCATGTTACAATGAGTATGTATAAGTATTAACATAACCTCTGACTCTTACCCTTGAAATGCACAACTACTGAAACAAAAAGCAGAGGACTCTGCAGCACTTAGGTTTTAATTCACACTTAAGTGATACTGAAAATAATTTTGAGCTAAAGAAAAAGAGACCATTTTAGAGCATGGCACTATTTATTTTCAGAAACCTTTCTTTTATTTAAAAAAAGTTGAAGCAACACTTCCCTTGAGCCCCTGTGTAGAGAATACATAATAATGATGAGAACTTTTTATTTAATACTGTATGAAATGTCTGACCCTTGAGGCATAATAACACGCTCAAAATACACTTAACAGTACCCTCTGGCTAAAAAAAAGTTTCCAGCTCATACTTAAAAAAATATCCCCTTTAGATGCTTACTTTGACTATGTGCCCAGAGTCAATGGCAAAAGTGCTTCTGTTTAGAAAGGATGGTTCGGCCAAAATTCAACTTGTTTTTCAGGAATAGGAAACCAAAGGGGAAAAAAAGTAGTAATAAAGGCCATACCAAATAAATCATCATTCTCCTTTACACCATAAGTGACTGTTCACATGCATGCAAATCTTACTGTTCAAGCTAGTACTGGATAGCCCTTTCACAAAGAGAAGTTGCCAGTGCTGCTGTCTGATGTTGTGGGTGCAGGAAGACCAGGCTGGTTGTGACACAGGCACAGCAGAACAGGATTTTCTACCGTCTCCAGCAACTTTTCAAACAACTCTGTATCAAACTACTCAGCCACAGGTTTTGACCATGGTCTGTCTGCTTTTCATTTCCACTACAATGATTAATATTTATGTCATTTCAGAGCCAATATAATCACACCATATTGTATTATCTGCATCCATAAAAAAGGTACCTGAAATGTTCTGGGGGAAAACAGAGGAGAAAACTGGTCTTCGCTTTCCCCTGCCAGACTGAAAATCGAAATACAAGATTTACAAAGGGCTGAATTAACAAAGCAAGCTGAGAATCTTCCACCTGGTGGTAACAGCTATTGTGGGAACTCAGTGTCTGAGCCAGTGTTTCCACGACATTCTTCAAGAGCATGAAAAAGGGCATTCTCTCCCCCCAGCCATTTTTATTAAAAATACACTGAAAACTTCCAACAGACAAAAGCTATTTGTAAGCAAAAGAATTGTAAGCCTTATGACAGATTTTCTGCAGCTGGCTTTCAAGCTCACAAGTACGCGTTTGCAGGTACAACCTTTAGCTGACAGAACATAACCACCTCACTATACATGGCCGCACACAGCTACCAAGGGGCAGTTTTTTGATCCAGGCCTCAAAAACGTACTAACCAAACAGCAAACCAACTCCCACACCCCCCAAAAAAAACCCAAAAACAAATTCACAGAGTGCAGGTACTTTGTGGATAATTGTTCAGAGAAATGGCACTTCTGTCATCTGTCTTGACAAATACACTTTACATATACAACTGCAGAAATGAGGCAGCTGTGAGATGCATGCCTCATTTGTTTGAAAAGCTGTCTCCACTTTGTTGTTTAGCCTGCAGAAAGCAGAGGAAATACTAATATTCTTGAAAACTTAGACTCGCTTCTCACAAAACAATGAAAACGCCTATTTTTTTCCCCCTCTATTCATATTCATTTCTGACTATTGATTTCTACTTGCCCTTTGCTTCTCTGATTTTTGGCCAGCTCAACTCGCAAAGGATAACCCCCGAGGCTCAAGCCTTTCAAAGAGGATACAGCACTCTCTGCGGTTGGTTTATCCTTGTAATCGAGAAAAGCCCTGTGCTGTGCTCCTTGCCAATTCAGTCGTAAAGGAGTTACATGGAATTCCCTCAAAGCACATTTCAGCTCGCTCACTCTTACACTGGGAGGTATGTTCCCCAGGTACACGGTAGTAATCCTGCCAGATCCGTCTAATCTGGGACTTAAAGAATCACCTTCAACACAGTGTTTTCCTATTTCAGCTGAGCCCATAGCAGCCTGCGGTCTTATATTTTCAGCCGTTGCCCTCTGATTTAATGCTGCTGTTTTTTTGGTATTTGCAAAGTCTGAATGTGCATCTTGGAGGGTCACATCCTTGCCAGCCAGCTTCTCCTTGTAGTGAAGACTCCTCAGGATGGGGATTTTTCCCAGCATCTCAGAGGTGACCTAAAAAGGAGGAAGACAGATACAATTATGAGATTTCTCACCTTCCAGAAAGAGACAACAACCATTAGCACCCATTTGCACCATAAAAAGAGGAACCTTATTATACTGCCACCATTCAGAGTGCCAGAGTATTCAAAATGTTACAAATTGCTGGCCTGATTCTGAAGTTCCTCCCTAAATACACACTGCAGGACAAAAATAAACATTAGTTACTCTTTAAGCAAGCAGCACAATGTAGATCCAGCAGGAAAATCAAAACCAAACTCAGAACTACTAGATTTTGACATTTATTTATCAGAGTGCTTTCAGATTTGCATTCTCATTGTTATCCCTTAATATTTGCTTTGACTGAGGGCCTGCGCTCCTGCTCTGGCAGAATCTTACATGCCCGTAATTCATGAAACCATCAGGCACTTTCATCCTACATATCTCCTTGTGCTCTTTTCCCCCAAAACAGGATATCCCGTAGGCTGGGTCACACAATAGGGAGGGACGATGGTGTGAAGTTTGCAGCTGGGGAGCGTGCCTTGTAGCGGGGCTCCTCTGAATGTGGGACCAGCTGGAGGCACGTTCTCTGGTTGCAGCACATCAACAGATCACAGCCTCCCTCTCCCTTTTGTCATCCAACTTCACGCACCACCCGCAGCTACTCATCAGATCTCACAACAGTCTGCTGGGTTGGGTCACGGAACAGAACGGAAGAGCACCCGGACCCAGACATTCTTCAAAACTGTGAATCTTCTACCAACTTCCATCCACTCCCAGTTCACAAGCAGCTTTTCTGGAAGGGCTCTTCCTCTCAACAGCTGAACCCTATCCATCTCAGGCATGAAATGCCCCAGGCTGCATTCACTGACTGGCAGGAAACACAGTGGCTCCCTGGCTAATGTGGTCTAGCTCTTGGCTTGCAAACTGCAGTTGGAAAGAGGAATAATTTGTACTTGGCTGCTGGAGAAGCAGAACATCCATCAACACAAGATCCAATTCTTAATTTTAGGGAACAAAACAGAACCCAGGGAAGTGACACCTGAGTAGCCCACACACTGAGCAAGCCACTCTAGCAGGGTACTGCACCCAAGCTTATGAGCCTCTATACTTCGCAGAAGGCTGCACTGGACTAGCACAAGCATATCCTGGCTAGAATACGCTTGCAGATCTCCCAGCTCAGATCTCCCTCATATCTCCGAGCCCCTCAATTCTTGGTTCTACAATTACAGTCAAAGTGAGTTTGATTGTCTGGCAGCATGTCATGGTTTAAACCCAGTCCGGTAACTCGTTCACTCACTGCCCCCTTCTTTCCCTCTCCCTACTCCCAGAAGGACCGAGAGGAGAATCAAAAAGAATGCAACTCCCATAGGTTGAGATAAGAACAGTTTAGTAACTAAGGTATAACACAAATCACTGGTGCTACCACCAATAATAACAATGATAAGGAAATAACAAGGGAAGAGAATACATCAGCTCACCACCAGCCGACCGATAACTCGCCCCCCCCAGCCCGACCAAGCTCTGACCGATACCTCCTCCAACCACGCAGTCTCTCAGCCCTTCCGGCTAACTCCCCATTACATCCTGGGCATGACGTGCTGTGGTATGGGATACCTCTTTGGCTAGCTTGGGTCAGGTGTCCCGTCTCTGCTTCCTCCTGGCTTCCCCTCCTCCCTGGCAGAGCATGAGGCTCACAAAGTCCTTGGCCAAACCAAAACATCAGTGTTATCAGCTCTGTTCCCAGGCCGAAAGTCAAAATACTGCACTGCACCAGCTACCAAGAAGGAGAAACATGACTGCTACTGCTGAACCCAGGACACAGCACCACATCAAGTCTAAAATTCACAGGTCTCCAGGGAGAGTAGCCCAGCTCTGAAGTGACTGGAGTAAAATCAAAGACAGGGTGGGGGCAACAGTAGGTTAAGGTAACAGGAAAGCCAGTCAACAAAAGTCTGTTATATATTCCCAGGGCTCCTCTTCTGAGGAGCAAATCAGCAAGTTTTATTTCAGGCTGAAACCAAATAAAATTATAATTTACATAAAGTCTGTCCAACCTGTTAATATAAAACAAAATAGCCCAATAGGACTATCCAGGATGAAAGAGGCCACCTCCACTCTGCCGCACTGCAGACCCAGAGTCAAGGTGTTTGGGATCATGCCGCTTAAACATGCAAGCTTTACAGCTGAGAACAACTTCTGAACAAATCTGGCCTGATCTGGTAGCCAGGATAGAGAAGCAAGGACTTCCTTTGGGGCTCCAGGAGCTCCTGTACTCTGAAAGGTACATGCCATTTTCAGATTTTGAAGAGTTATTGCTCTATGGATTTTTGGACTGATTTGATTTTCTCAGCCAAGAATTCAGACTGCTGTGTTTGATAGCAAACTCCCCTTCCTTGGGCAATACAACGTCAGTGGTTGAAACCATCTTACTTTGTTTTTACTGGCCAAAAATTGGGAATATTTGTTGTCCTCTGTCAAATTTCTATGTGTAATGCTAATTAAACCAAACAGGAAAAACATTTTTCTATTCTCATGCAGCTAATTACTCCTGGGTCCAAGGCACAACCTCAACCTCTTAACAGGTGTATGTACAGTTCCCTTCACCCTGAAATTAAAGTTGGTTCCCAAGGCATGGACTGGGTGTTCAGTTAGAAAGATCAATGCTACCAATGGCAAACCCTCACCACTTTGTAGATGAAGGGAACCAAAGAAAAAGGCACTGAGAGTATGATCCCTGGAACCCCCACTCTTTTAAGGACAAACCAAGGAAAGGATTCAGATAAGCCAGGGCTAGCATACTCTCTAAAAGATTTTGCCTGGCCAGGCTTCAACATGGCCTCTCCTCTCACTAGAACGACCAGTAATTTTTGGCATCTGACTGGAGCTCTTGGAGCTACTGTTTCAGGCTCCCTGCAAACTTGGGAAGATGTAGTTACAACAGCAGAAACGTCTTCATGAGGACTATGAACTGTTGTTTTCTATAAAAGCTGAAGCTCTGATCAAACACCACCAGGAAGTGAACCTATCAATACCTTAAATTCAGTCCCATGCAGATATAACAAAAAGTTGCCTTTACAGTACCAAACCAACAAAGGCAGATGATTTGGCACTTGGATTTGTTTTATAATAGAAAACTGTAAAAAACTGTAAAACCACCTACATCAGACAAGTTCTGACACTGGCAACTGACATCCTTCTGCCACAAAAGAAAGACAGAGGATTTACCTTAAGGGTTTGTTTCCTTGAGGTCCTACAGAATCTTTCAGCTGGGCCAAACCTCCTAAATACTTCCCTATTTTCCCCCACTTTTTTATTGAAGGAACAACAGAAACTCACTTTGGGATTCCAGAGTTTCAAATCAACAAACCAATTCACTACCTTTTTTGGGGTGCAGGGGGTGAGAGCCAAAAGGGCAAAGGGGGCAGTGGGTGGCAGAGGAGAAGAAAAAAGCTTCCTCTGCTCTGTTGCAAAATAGCAAACAAAAGAGCTCTGTGGTAGTACAATGTGTTGCTAATTATGATCATGCAAAAAGTTTCTTTTGTCTTTTGAGTTGTGGAGGATTGCAATGATTTATTTCCACGTGGAAACAGGCCAAAGATATTCCCCCTCTCCTTCAAACAAGCTGCACATTTCTTGGTTCTGTGCTGTCTGGTCACTCCTTCCTAGCCTGACCTACTGCTTTAGGCTAAGCCAGACTTGGGTTCTATCCCGGGTCTGCTTGACCCCGTTATGCAGATCTGGGCAAACCCAGTGGTAGAAGTTTCTTCCCCTGTTCCCCTCATCCCTAAAAAGTCAAGGCCAAACCATTTATTGATGTTTGTAAACTTTGTACTGAGTGTTGGGATTTAGCTAAATGATTGGCTTTGGCAGTGAAGCCAGCTGAAGAAGTTTCTTATTACTCCTTGACCACCAATTCCCAGGCCAGTTCCATACTTCAGCCCTCTGGGGTTGGCCAACAGAAGTGTTTGTGGGTCTGCACTATAAACTCAGTAACTGATGTGATTCAGGTTAAAAATAACTTCACCAAAAGCAATTCATCATTTAACAATCCTGCCTACTCTCTGCCATGGCTTGGGAGAGCCTTGGGGAAAGAGGACAGCAGGGTAGATGAATTCTTCTGACACACAAGGAGTGGGCTATGGGAAAGGAGCTGAGAAGGGAAACGTGGCCCCTTTCTGACAGAAACCTGAAGAAAACAGTCTTGGGTACTGAGTGCCAACACAAATCTCCCAACACTTAACCCCGAGCATCCACTCTTATGACACCTGGTTTGGTCCCAAAACAACGTAGTGGCAGATGGACTTCTGCAACTGCTCTGCTAGAACATCAAGGCTCTCTTCAGCCTCTGTTATTCCAGAACAGTGAATGTGGCCACTTTCAATATTTTGCTGGGCAAAATGAAAGATGTATTTGTCCTCTGACAGAATGAGCAATGCTGACCCCTGATATAGCACAGGCCAAGCCAAATACCACTTTGATTTCCCTGGCAGCAGAAGTGGTGCAGTTCTAATATATGGCACATGAGGGAAGGGCAGCTAGAGACTGGAGAGCATTCTAGGTCTGCTATTTAATTCTGCTTCGCACAGCTACTCATCTGCACACATCAACTGATGTAGGAACATGTAGCTCAAAATGGAGAGAGACGATGGTGCTGCATCCTTTGAGGAAGCCTGTGAACACAACAATCAATGTTTAGCAGATGCACCAGCCCCTCCAGGTATTTAGCTGGTAGGCAAAAGATGCCTGAAAAATTCATCTCTGCCCACCCAGAGGGGTCTCTGACCCAAGACCGTTCGTAACGGCTTTCAGGACAGAGTCTGCTTCTCGTGTTGTCTCTTTAATCAGTTGCTTGTTTAAATGAACACTGAGCTCACAGGGTTTTAAAGCACAGAGAAAGCCAAGACAGCTGGGATGGGCCAGCACAGTTTAACATTTTATCATTCATTTGCACAAAATGTCCAAATATGTGCACGCAATCCCAGGGCATATTTCTGGGAGCTGGCAGCCCATGAAGTCTGCTAGTGTCCCTCAGGAGAAACTTATGCAACCCACACTTGGAATCCATCAGCAAAAAACTGAATCTGTGGACTCTGTAGCAAGGGTCAGACTTGCAAAGGTGTTGAGATGTTTAACCATGCATGGAAGCATGCCCTGCTCATGCTATCCCTCCACAAAGCAAAGCCTTGGCTAAACTAACCACAATTTTCTTCTGATGACAACGCTATGTCCCTGCTAAAGGTTCTGTCAGCTTGAGTTTTGAGTGTGAATTTGAGCTTTAAAACAACATTATTTTACTTACCAAATATTCTATCACAGACCCGAATCAAAAGCTATTTGTTGTCAGATAGTTTCCATCTCTGTCACTGCACACTAAATTCTTTCAACTTCAGATGCAGGGATTCCCCCCAGTTCATTTTATTTTGGGAAAAAAAATAATTTTCCTACTTCCATAAAATTCTCAGCAGAAGAATGATTGAAAAAACAGAAGGAAATGCTTGCTAGAATATACTGTTTTTTCTACCAACTACTCTCATTTCCCTCTTCATGACCCCAAATATTTTAATTGGTCTGTATAGTTTCAATTTAAAATAAGCACAGCACAAATAACTCTGCAATTGTGACAATATAATATACAGTGTCATAGATAAAGATCATAGCTACCCATACAAAATACTAAATGAGAAGTAAGTTGCCTCATGAGTTCAGAGTTCCCAGAAACAATGGGTTAGATCTGCAAGATAGATGAAGCCAAATAACTCTCCACTGGCATCCAAATACAGTTTTCCAGAGTGTTCAGCTCTTAGCAGCTCTTGCTGTCCTCCAAAAGCACATACTGATTTCTCAAAACCCTGAACTGAGATGGAGAAAGCTTCCCCATACACACACTGCAGTACTACCTCTGTATTTAGAAGTGTTTCCAGAGTGCCTAGCACTGATACTGACAATGCTTCTTTGGTATTAATAATATTGTAGCTCCCGTATTTCCTTACAAATGCATTTCTGTTACAAAAATCACACCAAGTCATTCTCATCCTCCTGTCTGTAAAAACGTACAGCAAGAAACAGCTCAGTTGGAAATTCTGCACTGAGAAGAACTGAAAGAAGGCAACTGAGAGCAAGTGATGCCAATTACCCCAAGAAGCAAATCACTTACGCACAGAAGAAAACCTATTTACCCCTTCCCATATCTGACACTTTACTCCTTTCCTACATAGCACATAACAAACAAAACCATTCCAGGAAAATACAGTACCTCTTTGAGCACAGAAATCTAGCCTGGAGACATGCATTTTGTTAGCTGCATAAGTACTTTCTTACCTCTTTCCAGCTGAAAGCGGTGTGAGCATTAATGGCTATTTATCCTAACAGCTTCAGCAAAGCACATCCTTCAGCAGTATTTAGCTGTAATCCCATGTTTGCAAACACCTTTAATTTAAGCTCCTAAATCATTGTCTTGGCTTGATCCAGCCATGTTCCTGAATAACTTTTTTGCAATGTATTTTAGGCATCACAAATCTTAACAATAAAGTTTAGCTACCTTCTATTGACAAAACACCACAGTTAGAAGTGGGTTATTTATTTACCGACTACCTCTTGGTTCATTTAGTTTTGATCTGAGGCACAGGAATGCACCAGTAAAGCCAGGATTTGAAGGAGAAAAAGATGTAGAGACAAGGATGAGAAAAGGATGCAAAAGCAACCAGGAAACGTCAAAGGACAAACACTTAAATAGTCTGTACCAAATCCTGCATTTTTAACACCCGGTCGATTAACTAGACCTCCCACCTCCAAGACCCTCTGTGAAGAGTTGAACATAGGAGTTACCACCACAAGCACAAACAAACCATACACAAATACACAAGTTGTTCAGATCTCTGAGAGAGAATAATGCTATTTGCCACCTTCTTCATATAGACACAACACTTTGATCTTGTCCCAAAACTACAGAAACGCAAAGATTATTCCTGCTGAGGCTAGTATTCTCCAATATTATTAGCTAATCAACATACGCTCTGAAGAACAGCCAAAAGCTGCTTGATGTGTTAAATCAACATGTAAATACTCAAACAAAGGGTCCATAGTGTAACGTGCTCCCTTACCAGTGAAAGCTGTAGGATATTCAGTGAGAGCTCTGTTTCAGACAACATCACTAACATGGAGATTACTAGAGAAAAAGTTTCACCATCTCATGCAAACTGGCTGAAGTCAGTGTGGCACAAGCTTTAGCTATGACTCTATAAAACATCTCTTCTCAAGCCTTACAAAGAAGGATAAGGAGCTGTGGCAGACATTTCATTAGTTTATGAGACGTATATTATTATATTTCTTTTTCTCTGAAAAGCCAAGAAACGCAAAGGTAACATCAAATTTAATACATCACTTGCGTCTGACTGACCTTTCATGAGCAGCTAAAGTTTCACAGGAATTCAACAGCCCCTGCAAGGTTCCCCAGACCTTTAAAAAATGTCACTGCTAAAGGGAATGAGACAGAACAGAAAGAAAGGAAAAAAAAAAAAAAAGTGTTAGCAAGGCCACTTACTGAGACTGAAGTCTGACACTAAGGCAGTCAGCCTGTGATCAAAAGTATGTTGGCAAGATGGATGGAGCACAAGGGGCAGGCCTTCAGAACAATTACATTCAATAATATCCTAAAAAAATTAGTATTCAAAAATAATTCAATGGAAAAAATGCACTGGTACAGACAGACCTTTTATTTATTTATTTATAACCTCAAATCCTCAACCACAAGCAGGGTAAAACACTCTCCCACTATAGGAACAAAAATAGTACTGGCTAGAATTGTTTGTTGTAGATACATTACCTTAACAAATTAAGTCTTTTTGCTGTTTGGCACATGCTTAACAAATAACTCTTCATTTCCCTAGAAGTATTCACTAATAATTCCTCAGTGGTTTCTGCAAGACATTGGTACACTGTTCCTCATTTCGGTGTTCCTACTGTTACTCAGTCACGCAGGATTGCGTCTGATCCCTAACTGGTTGATTTTAGGAATGAAAATCTAATGACAAAGAAAGAATTTTCCCAGCATGAACTTCCAGTAAAACAGTTCACTAAATGCTCTTCTGAAACCATTTGTGAAGCTATGAAAAGTTTCTGACAATCTGAAGCATGGGTGGAGGGAAAGTCCAAACCCATAAAAAATAGTTATCAATAAATAATGACTTAAAGTAGTATAAACTCTATAGATATAGTCATCCACCTGAAAACAAACTCCAGCCACAAACTTAATCTATTGTTTGAAAGTTAATCTGCTACGTAAACAGCAGTGTACCAGCCACCAAGGTCCTTTCCTTTCACAACCAGAGCACCACATACTCTACTACTCCTACGCAGCCTAAAGCAATGAAGTTCTCATAGGTACAGGCTCCAGAAAATGAATAGAGCCAACCTAAACGAGCACTGAGTAAAACATAAGGTGAAGAAGCCCCTCAGCTTACACTGACTATTATACTACAAACAACTACAAGAAACAAAGTCAGCCTTAAAAATTCACAATGTTTCCACTTACTCTCAACCCATAGTCCTTCTGGAACAGCAACCTGGGCTTCAGTAATGTATTTCTCCTCCTCACAATTACCACTTAAAAATCACTGAACACAGATGCTGCTGTTTTGTTTCATTTAACCATCTAACACATTTACTCCTTTTCCAAGTATTTCTAACACAAGAAATGCATTTATATGTAAAAATGAGGGAGTGATCAACAGAATGTTGATACCACTACGCCACCATTAGCAGAAGTAACTTGCCTTATGCCATATTATTCCCTGAGGCTTTGGTCGTTTGCAATTGGTTTTGATAGTTCTTGTTGGAGTGAGTATATAATCCACAGTTAAATCATGATCACCAAGAAGTTCTTCTGCTATGTCGACCACCTACATGGAAGAAGAAATCTGTTAAGCAGGTAAAACGAATTAAAATTGCACACCATCCCTGATGTCTTGCAGCATAGGAAAATCTGCCAGTGATGGTGGAAACAAAGTAAAAATGTCACACCAACACCATGCTAAGTCTCTTCTCCAGACAAACCATTCACTCTCACATAGTTCTGAATCACCACTAAAGAGGGGATATTTTAACTTACCTGACAGTCATGCACAATAGTAACTACAGGTGTATCCTCCTGCACCGCACCCATTGACACCATCATCGCATACTCCATGTCTGCATAACCTTCCCCTTTTCCAATTCTCCAGCCTAAAATACACAAAAGTAAACAGTGATAGTAAGTGCAGGAACAGCAGAGTGGAAAGGTGGGCTGCTGTCAAAAGCATGCAATTAAACTAAGCAGCCTGCAACAGATAAACCAAGCACAGAGTTGTAATTCAAGAAAAAAAAAACCACATCAGTGTCTCTCATAGAATGCAGCTTTCCTTGTAATCAGCACTGAAATGAAAACATTAGTTTCAATGAACTCCTAAAGGAGCCCAGGAGCCTCCAATTCAGAATAAACCGCATTTAGACCAATTCAGTTAATGCAGAATCCTGTTTACCCATTGTAATTAGAACCCTCTACTCACGTCAAACATAGGTTAACTTTACATGGGTAAAGAGGAACCCCAGCTCACATACAAAAACCATGTTAGCTTTAGGCAATGGATAAAGAATGGATAAATCGGTGGAAAATTATTCACCACCAGCAGGTCTTCAAAATACTGGAAAATGCAAAATCTGATCCCCAAATTGGTACTGAATCAGCAGTAACACATGTGCTTTCACACGCCCTTGCAAGCAGAGCAGATCCTCTGAACAGGGAGCCCTTTCTGATTCTTAGAAAAAAATAAAATGAAACAAAAATTGACTGCTGAATAGTTCTACTGAAGGCCAATACACTGTCACTCACACTCTAAACCACATTGCTGTCTGCCCACCAAGCTGTACCAGCACTATCGTGAAGCAGGCATCAATTCTTCCTGGTTGAACTGGGATCAGTGACTTGTCACACAGAACAGACAGAACTCAAAGACTGTAATTCAGTTCCAAAGACATGTTTGGGTCTGCCAAAAGGAACATGTAGTGCAGCCTACTGAGACTGTGAATCGTGACTTAGGACCCTCCTCCTGAAAAGCTCCTGACAAGGCTTTAGCTTACCTTTTTCAGAGACAGCCACTGATCCTACAACAACCAAGTCCACTTGTGCTTTCCCCTCAAGACCTACAGGCACACTGTATTCTTTTACACCCTGCAAGAATAACATAATATTAGGTTTGCAGAGTGCAGTCTTTCAACCAGTGAGGCAGAAATCCAGAGTATTTTGATAAATCCAAGTAACTCCCCACATTTCAAAGTGTTTCTTCCATGTATAGCCAAGCTGCATCTGTCTGGAAAGTTATCCTCTAGGGAATCCTAGAATAGATTCCCTACCACAGTGACAAGAATTTTGGCACACTTCAAGAAGGCCTGAGGGAGGTGGGCACTTTTTAAAGCAAGGTTATTTAGGATCGAAGTCTTGTATTTTGAAAGCCTTTACTGGACATTAATTTCTAAAAATTAGGGCAAATGACATTTCCTACCCTATTACTACTACCAGCTCAAAGTCCTAATATTCATGCCCATGAGGAATAACAGAGCACTACACATTCATTAATTCTCACATACAAATCACAAAGTTAGTTTACGCACAGGCAGCTACAGCATAAAGATGTTAAGCTGTTCGCCAGAAGTCACAACCAGGTACCCAAGCTGGATTACACTCCACACTGCAGCTGCTGTACTGCCAGTTTCCCTATACCTGCATCTTTAAAAGCACCTTCCATATCTGCCTACGTGTTCCCTGAGAATACATTCTTCAACACTTTGCTGCGTGATCATCATCTGGGATGTGCCACTGCCAAGCTAAGCCATCTTTACCCAAACTTTTTACCAGAGATGCTAATGAACAGAAAAACACAGAAGAGAAGCAGAAAGAAAAAAACCTACATTCCTGCCTTTCTTTTTTCCTCCCCCTCTCTCCCTGCTCCCACCCCTCTTCAGGCTCCTTTCTAAAGAATACGTCCTAACGAAATTCTGTTGAGAGCTGCAGAAATTAAAATCTGGCTTTTACTTGGGATTTCCACGATCAGAGGTTTAGAACTTTTAAAAAGGTATCTTCTGATCCATTCACTCTTAATATATGTGTACAGTGTAATGTAAATCCTCCTCGAACCAATGCGACTTTGTGCTAAATTAATCCTCACAGTAAAAAAGCCAAATTTTCTCTGTAGAGAACACCCCGCCCTCCCCCAAATATCAGTAATTTGTGACCATCAGTAACAATACTCATTATCCACTTTGCAGGAGTGTGGTAAGAATTGTTTCCACAGTGCTTTGTAAATACAAACTGCTAATAGCATTTATTTGTTAGTACTTTTGGTTGGGGGGAAAAACAGACACATGGTGGTAAGATCACAGGTCAGATACAAGGCTCGAAGCAGGTCAAGAGAATGGTCTCTTTCAAAAGTGCTCTTCAATACCGAGAAGCTTAATTAGTTAACGACTTTAGTGGAACTTCCAACAAAGAAAGTCACCACTAATTGCCATTCATTTACAACCCTCGGTTATAAACAGGATTACTGTAGAACTCTATTGCCTTTAGCAGGAGATAAAGAACAAAATAAACCCACGTAGCTTTTCTAGTCATTCTGCAGAATTTACATTTTCATATAAAATAAAAGTGCAAAAAATACCACACGGGTTTCTCTGCCGAATAGCTTTAGCTGTACAGCACGATACTTGAACACAAGAGGGCAGCAACATACTACAATTCAAAAGAAAACCGGTAACGCATTTTTGTACCTGGGTTGATGCAAACGGCAGAATAAAAGTTTCCTTAAACTTAGGATTCTAAACGAATTGATCTTTCCTGTTTAGTAACACCTAATATTCTATTGACCAGATTATGCAAAAAAAAAAGCAAACACTGAAATATTCCTCATAGGGTTCACTAACTGAAAACTGCAGAATACGGGAGAGCTATTTATTATAAACCTAAAGAACTCACCTATTAAAGTTGCTCAATGTTCCAAAAAGCACTCAGAAAATATCAATACCATTCTTTTAATAAAATATAATGAAAATACTCAATTTCCTCATGATTTAACTACCAACAAAAAGATTATTAATGGTGGGTATGTACCTAAAAACCAGGAATAACACTCTAGCAGAACAATATGTCACATAGCACCTGGTTTTCCAACTTTTAGTTGGACTATCATGACACAATGCTCCTCCACCACTTAATTCAGACCTCCCCCATTCTTCATTCTTACTTGAGATGTAGCACATATTCGCAGGATCTCCTTAGTTGCACCTAGAGGTGGAACAATCTTATTGAACAGTCCACTTCTCAGACGTGGCATGGGAACCAACAAAGTCTTCCTTGCCTGTGTAACAAAAGTTCTCACATTAAAAGGAACTGGGCTCATTTTACACTAAAGAAATATTTTTATTGTCCTTTAGGTCTCCATGTTGTTTATCTCATTTGCCATCGATTAGTTAGCACCGCTGATGGTGTAGTGCTTGTAGATGAATGCCCTCAAGTATGGCAAAATCCCAGGCAAGGTTTTATTTGAGAAACAGATGCCAAGACATGACGGTTGATGTAAAGAGCGTGACACACATGAATTACACGTATAAGCTGGTGAACACACACAGGTCTGAGGTAAGTCTGTCACACACTCATGTTGTGATAAACATAACACAATTTGAGGTAAGGCTACCTTACATGTTTCGGGGAATAAGATGGATGCAAACATGTAAACCGTCATGCTTACAATGACAGGGAAACTGCTATTGCTCTGCAGAAAGATACTAATTTCCCCAAACTCTACCTGCAGCTTTGCCATTTGCCAAAAAAAAGGCAAAAACATCCTTCCATGAACACCTTCATGAGGCTAAGGACTAGTAAAACTCCCACCCGAGAAATTGCAGTGCTTGGCCATGAGATGTCACCAAGCACAGCAGTCCCACTCTCCTCAGGGGTGCAACAGTGCTGTTACCTGCAGTGCAGCTAGCCGAACACCTTCGAGAGGTTTGTCAGGATCTACTTTAATCTCACGTGCTCTGATGAATATATCCAGCTCTCTAATAGAGCAGCAAGCCTGGTGAGACCCCTGCGTGAAGAGAGGAATCGAGAGAGAACATATTCACTTACTTCTAGTGTTAGAAAGCGAGCGTTCTTCTGGGGAGCATCAGGATTTATTTTTACAGTCCTGGCAGCTTTGAACTCCTGTAAACCCAGAAGCCTTGTTGCAGCATGCGAGGCACCCTATTTTCATAAGATATCAGCACATCACCAAGGAGTTAACAGCAGAGATGAGCATTTTACACTCTTTCATCCTACAGAGAAATGGATTTCTCCAGATTTTTAACTATGAGGGACATACTGTTAATTTTGTGATGTTTTCTATGAGAAACTGTCACATACCAACAGACGCTGAGCACTTGGCTAGTATCTTGCAGACCTCAGAAAGACAGGATCCAAGTGAGTCACTTTGCCCAATTCCACCTATACTCATGCCTAACTGACAGCTGGAGACTTTTTTAATCAATGAATGCAAACAGATTCCTTTAAACACACACCAAAATTCTTTCAGATGACGATTTTCTGGACAAGGCTGCCTGTGTTTTACAGACACTATATTCACCTTCCACTAGACCAGACTGCTCCAAGCCCTGTCCAACCTGGCCTTGAACACTGCCAGGGATGGGGCAGCCACAGCTTCTCTGGGCACCCTGTGCCAGGGCCTCACCACCATCACAGGGAAGAACTTCTTCCTTATATCTAATCTAAACCTGCCTTCTTTCAGTTACAGAACTCAGAAGACTCATTTCTTAGCTGAGTAAGGTGCTGAAGCTTAACGGAGCACACATTCCTCTTGCAACTTAAGCTGACATGCCCTTGCTTTAGGGTGTGATAAAGCCTCAGACTTTCTCCAACTGCTTCAGCACCTACCTGACCTTAATGCCAAACTAAGGCAGAATGCTTCTGCCAGTCCCTTGGGCAAAAGCAGAGCCCATGTCATCACGTTCTCCTAAAACACCCAACATCCACCCCCAAAATGCTGATTTGGTCATCGTTTCTTCAATACATGGCAGATAGGTAGCTGCACACTCTAAGCCTGATTTAAAACAGGCAGACAGTGAAGCAGTGGCCTGAGTAAATGAATACTTTTTTAAAGTCTTCTTCTTTCTCTCCTTCCAAATCTCCCCCTCCCAGCCATCAAACTGGGGACACAATGAAGCCAGAGGAAGGATTCTCCCACCACTGTCCAGCAACACTTTGCCAGTAATACCTTGAACACCATTCACATTTTAGCAGCATAGTGTTCCCAGGCTAAGCTCTACAAGGTGGGGGACTTCAGCTTTCCATCCCAACGCACCCACTGAAGGCCCTGGGGAGTGAAATCAGTTCAGAATGCCTCGGTTCCCCCATCCATAAATATATTTATTGTGTTTACAAGGCGTTTTTGTACCCACTGATTAAACACAGCACACCACCTGCCATGTATTGTCACGTACAGACCCCTGTATTTCTTTACTCGCTGTTAAGTGAGTTTGCACGCTGTTTTTCGGAGCTCTGCCACCACAGCCACAGACCAACGGCACACCCCGCAAGAACACGTAGTTCACAGCTACCTGCTCACGCAGGGGGGAGCTTCCAGAGCTCGGCGGGGCCCGGAGCTTTGGAGGGAGAAAGCAGAACGGAGCGGCCCAGACCCGCCACAGGCGGGCCGCCGTACCTTGAAGTTAGGGATGCGGCGGTGCACCGGCCGCGGGAAATCGGCCAGGCCGCTGGCCTCCAGGTAGTCCCACACCTTCTGCCGGATGTCGCCTTTGGAGGCACCTGCGGGAAGGCAGAGCTGAGCCCGCTGCCGGGCGCCTAAAGGGGGAGCCCCGCCACCGCCGCCGGGCCGCTCCCACCCTTCCCCTTGGTCCTTCCCTTAGGCCAACGGTCGCCCCCAGGAGCCGCGCGGTGACGTAACCCGCCGCGCGGTGACGTCACCCGCCGCGCCGCCGCTCACCCGCGCGCAGCTGCACCCCCCCCTCCATGGCGGCGGCGGCGCTACCGGAGGCAGCGGAGGGAGGAGGAGGAGGAGGAGGAGGAGGAGGGAGGAGGAAGAACCTCCGCCGTGTGCACCCGCCCCTCGCACGCGGATACGGTGGCGGCGGTGGGTCAAACGAGCTCGAAGGCGAAATGGTGGCGTTAACGGCGTTGCCGGGGTTGGGAATGATCTTTGCGATCGAGTCCGGCCGTTCCCTCCGCGCTGCCACAGCTAAACCTTGTCACTGAGAGCTTCATCGACGCGTTTGTGAGCGCTTCCACCGCTGTCCTGCCTGTGCCAATGCCTGAGCACCCTCTCAGTGAAGAAATTGTTCCTAATACCCAGTCTAAACCTCCCCTGGCGCAGCTTGAGGCCGTTCCCCGTTGTCCCATCGCTTGTTACTTAGGAGAAGAGACCCTTTTCCTTGTTAAACCTCAGCCTGTGACACGGTGGGATGGGGATGGCTGTGCTGGCCATCTGGATGGGGTGAGCCCCCACGAGAGCCCCCTTTTACAGTATAAAGGCTATGGGGTACCCTTGGCCTAACGGCGAGCCCTTTCCTCAGGTGTCAGGCCTGCTGTGAATGGGGTGTGCTGAGAAGTGTTGCCTCACACAACGTGTGTGCTTGGAACAGTCTCAGCTCCCTTCTCGGGGTGTCTCTGGCTGCAGGTGGCTTCCCTGCTGTCAAGTGGTGCCCTGTAGCTGAGTGCCCCCAGTGTTACAGAACCAGAACCATATGGTTTGGGTTGAAGGGACCTTAGAGCTCATGCAGTTCCAGCCCCCTGCCATGGGCAGGGACACCTTCCACTAGAGCAGGATGCTCCAAGCCCCGTATTCTTTTCAATTGTGTGTTATAGCTGTGGGGGGGAAAAAAAGACCCATTTTTCATAACACAAACTCCCAAATAAATAATTTTTCCATTTAAAATTGGCTGGTCTCGAATAAAGCAATATCCAGCCTTTACGTGGGCTTCTGAGCCTGCCAGCTTCCAGAAAGTACATTTCTCACTTTCATTTAATAGGATGATAAATGATTTGTTTGAATGATTTATTATGTATAGAATTAACGTATTTAACAATTGCCTCAAGAAGAGGGAGAACATTGAGAATCCTGACATTCCTGAGCGGAGTGGGATGGAAGGGTCATGGGAACAATGAGACAGAGGTTTATTTTAAAGTGTGTCGGGAAGGAGATGGAGGGGGGGAGAAATTGCTTTTGAATTTGGTTTCTAATCTACTTGGCTTGGATGCTACTGATACATATCCACCGTCAGAGCTGACTGTTGCTCTGCCAACCAAAAAGCGGAACAAATTCGGATGCTCTCCCCTGAATAGTTGCAGATGTAGCTGGGCAGATGCAAACGCCTTTTCTCTCTGCGGCTGCTGCTGGTTGCTGAACTACTTTCTTTCTGTTTCACAGTGCAAATCAAAGGCCAGGACTCCGCTGGGCTCAGGAGTCTTTCCCCTTCCAACTATGTGTGTTTGTCAAACTCAGATTAATATCAGTATATTGGGCTGAATGCTGCAGAGCAGCTGCGCTGAGCCTGAGGCTTCACCTTTCCACCCAAGTCCCTTGTAAGCATTCAAAGAAAGTACTTAGAGCCCCTGTTCTGCAACGGGGTGCATTTAGGAAGAGCCTTTTCACTACCTCGGAGTGCTGCTGGAGCCAGTGGGAATCCATCCAGGCATAATAGACCACCCATGTGGAGCTGGGCCTAAATGTTTGAAGCTCATTCCTCCACTTCCTACTCACGGAAAACTCCCAGCGACTTTGATATCTCTGTGGGGAGTTTGGGATCGGGCCTTTGGTGAGCAATTTACAACCTCTCTCTAATTCAGCATTGCAATTTGCACTCCTATGCTGCGAGTGCCAGCCCTGTGCGCCTGTTCGCCGTCACCCAAAATCGCCACACTGCAGCTCGTGGGACCTGTTTCCACCCCATCGCACTCTCTTTCTCCCCTTTGAGGAAGGGAGTGAAGTAGCAACAGTGCTGTTAATTAATACACTAACAATTGAGGGGCGTTCAGATCCTACCAGACCACCTACATCTCCTTCCAACCTCCATGCAAGATGCTCGGTAAAGCTGTTTCTCACATGGATTTGCCTTCCAAAAAAAAATGAGGGCCTGAGCCGGTTTTCTACAAGCCAGGATAATTTGCCCTGAGCAAATGAGGAGTTTGGTAATAGATGACGGCTTTTCTGCTGGTTCAGTTCTCGGCTTTGATTCTACAGGTCTTAAATTTGCTCCAAATTACTTTTCCAGGGTCTCTTATATCACTCAGGCTTTAGCATTACTTCTAATATCCTGATGTAGCTTGTACAGATGCCATGGGAAAGCCTCTCTTTTCAGTGGGAAGCAGGCAGGGCTACAGCATCCATATAATGGAATTACTTTATTGGAAGTACCTGCATCACTTCTAACATCCATTTTACCAAACTGAATAAAATACTCAACTGAAAGAGGCTGAAAAAGATCTTGAGCTTTCATACAAAAGACAAAATGCGGCACTTGTGCGAAACACCCATAATTTGTGAAAACACCTAGAAAAAGGGAGTGCCACGTCAATACAAACCCTGTGAACAATGCAGAAAGGAACTCCTTGTGCTGCAGGAATAATTTCTCTGACACGCAGGCTGAACACACCAGGGCAGCCATGAAAAACAAGCGAAACACAACCAAACAGGAGCGCTAAGCTGGTGATAGCGCTCTGCTTTGGTTTCAGTACTAAAAATCAAAAATAGGCTACAAGTTTTGAAGGCAACGGTTATTAATGATGCATTCATTCATAAAGCATATTAGCTGGGTACTAGAAACTAGGCTTTCAACCACTGTGAAGTGGGTTTCCGTGTGTGAATAAACAATGTACAAGCGAATTCATGTGCAAAGAAAATAACCCGACAAAGGAGGCACCTTTGGGCAGGTGGGCCAGGCCCAGGCTGACCTGTCAGGACATTGCCTTCTGCTGGAAAATAGGAGTGGGCTTTGGGTCAGCCGCTGAAGCCAGTGTGGGTGCACTCCCTGTGGATGGTCACCAGTGCAAATGCAAAGAAAGCGGCGTGAATTTGAGGGTCTTAGATGCACTGATGGCTACAGTATCAGCTACAGACATAGCTGTTCCTTTCCTTCCTTCCTTTCTTCCTTTGTCTTTCTTTCTTCCTTTCTCTTTCCTTCTTTCTTTCTTTCATTTTCTCTCTGCTTTAATCTTTCTCTCCCTATCCTTGCTCCTTTCCTCCCGACCTCTGCCGCTTTCACTCTTTCCTTCTCTTGCTCCCATTCTCCATTCCTTTCTCACACACTTTTTGCGCTGTTTCTCGCCTGCACTCTCTATCACTCTGCCTTTCTTTGCGCCTCTCCCATCCCACTGTCTCTTTCTCCTCTCGCTTCCGTTCTCTCCATCTCTCCTCTCTTGTCTCCCGTGTCTCCTCTCCTCCTTCCACACACCGTGGCCCGGAGCGGGCAACCGGTGCCAGTACCGCGCCGGTGGGGCAGTGCAACCCTCCCAGTGTCCCCTGGAGGGCAGCACCCACCGCGACGAGCCCCGGGGCGGGCAGGTGAGCGCAGCGCTCTCCGCCGCACCGGCCGCCGGCACGGCCGCGGGGCCCGGGGAACCGCCGCGTGGAGAGCCCGGGGAGGGGAAGGGTCCATGCTCCTGCCCTCGATGCTCACCAGAGGCTGATAAAGGCTGCGGTGGGACATCGCTGCCTGCCCGGGCTCCACCGTTCCGGTAAAGCGGGCGAGCGCGGCTCCCCGCGGAGGACGGGCGGAGGAACCCACGGTGCTGGAGGGACCCCGGTTTCCGCGGTCCCTTTTCGGGTGCTGGCTATTTTCACAAACAGGGTGTTCTTTTCGTTCCTGCTACCCACACTGCTGGCTCTCCCCGCCGCGGAGCTCGGCCCGGTGAGGATCCTGGCCTCGGCGAGCAGAGACCGGCCGCTGCCGCTGGATTTTCTGTAGAAACTCATCTCGGTTAAAGCTTCCAGCTAAGCATAAATGAGATTCCGTCCAGGGTACTTCTCCCGAGCGCACCGGACTGCGGGAAGGGGCAGCACTGGGACGGCGAGAGGCTGTCTCGGGTCAAGCTTTTGCACTGAAAAAGAAATACTGCATTTAAAAAGTTATATTGTTTAAAAAATCCGTATATGCGCGCTCAGATAACCACCTAGCTTTTACCAGAAATACGTTTTCTTTGAAAACAGAAGGTAAAAATGGGAAGTCGTTTTCAAATTATTCGAGAAATAATAATAATATATACATGCTTTCTCGTTGCTCCTACATGAAAAGCATCAGCAGATCTCGCAGAATTCACTATTTGTTTTCATTAAAAAAAAAAGAAAATAAATCACCCGGACGTTTGCTCTGTTGGTGAAACCGTCCCAGAACGTTTCCATTTATTTCCATCAAAATTAAATCGCGGTTTCGAAGCGTCCGGCGAAACTTTCCTATTCGTTTTTCCATCACAGATCGGTTTTAACAGTACCTCCTTGCAGAGGAGCTCCCTTTAATTTTGTAATTTTTTTTTGTTGTTCCCCGCTATCGCGTAAAATCGTTTCCTTTCTTATTAAGAAAATCTCCGGTAATTAGCAGCACCGCCGGGTTCCCACGGCCGGACCCTTCCTACCGGCAGCCAGCGACAATCCCGATCTGACTTTGGGGGTAAAGAAAAGAATATAAAATAATAAAACCACCCTTTGTTTAAAGCCTTCCGAAGCCACACAAATTGCAAGGAGGGAAAGGCAGAATTACAGTGTAGGAAACCCAAAGATCACCGCTTGGAAACCCGAGCGGAGGCGGCCGGGCTCGGAGAGGCTGCGGGAAGGAGCCCTGCCGGCATGACAGCTGATTAATTTTAACCTTATCTTGGTTGCCTCTGGCTCGAATCGATTTTGCGGTGACTATTTGTATTGTATTATTATTATTTTAATTTTATTCATTTTTCCCGAGTGGGGAATTCACTGTTTCCCACAGTTATTTCTTCGTCGGGAAGATCCGCGCTTCTCCCGGCTGGGACAGTGCAGCTCGTAGCAGTTTTCCCACTATCTGAGTTTACAG